AAATAAACATATTGGAAATATTTTTGATATTAAAAAAGAATACATATGTATATATATGTATAATATATATGTATATAATCATTATATTCTTATATTTTTTTAGAATTACATAAATTAAAAGAAAATAAATGTAGCAAAATCTCTTAAGAGGAATAAAAGTAATTTTGAACTGAATAATGAAAATTTCAAACATATAACTTATAATATTAGATCACAATGCTTACGAATTAAGATTCAAGTGGAATGATAAANATAATATTAATTATATTATATTAATATAATAATATAATAATATTTTTTTAATAATTCATATCTTTTTTATTCATATTATTTTTTTTTTAAAAATTTCAAGTAATTTCAAAATTGATTTATAATTTATTTTCTATGTATTTTAACATTTAGAAATCATTCGACTTGAAAAAAAAAATACGAAATAAAAAAGAATTTTAATTACAATAACTAATTTTGTAATATTGTATAAAACAAAAAAGTTTGATATCATGTAAAATTCTATTTTACAAAATTACTTATTTCATCCTATTAATCATCAAATAGATATCTTAGCAATTCACGATGATACTTCTGAATGTCTATTATTTACTTACCTGTTCGTTCTGCTAAAAATTCGCAGCGTGAACAAAAAAGATATAAAAATTATTAATAAAATTAATAAAAAATATTGTTTTAAATTTATAAACACTTGATTATATGTTCTTCATTTAATTAAAAAAAGAAAAAAATTTATATAATTTTATATTAAATTAATATGAAATAATAATATGAAAATAATATAAAATGACTGAAATAATTTAATTTTGTCTCGTATCAAAAATTATTTAAAAATAATTCAATCTTAATTTAAAAAAAAAATATTATTTTTACTATGCTATTCTTGCAATAAATATATATAATAAAATAATAATTAAAGTAATTCATTACTATTTATTTTTATTATTTATTTTTTATTCTGAAACATTTCTTTTATAAAGGAGGATAAAGATTTCTTTTATTTCAAATAAAATCCAAATATAATTCTAACATTTTCACTAAGATGATATTATTTGTAAATATTATCTAGTAAATCCTACAAAAAAAAACACGATTGTGTACAATAATCCTAAATTCAAGAAGAAGAAATCATTATCCTTCATAAATCCAAAGACTAAACCCAATAACATTTATTTTACCTCCAAAACAAAATCGCGAACCCATTCGATTCTACTTATAGGCTTTCAAACGATCTGCTTGAAAAGCATGACGCGAAAGCGCATGCGTTCTCGTCACGCGATGCGAAGTGAACTCTCGCATGGATTTGAATTGCGGGCGGGGATAATTGAAATCTTGCCCACGGCTCGAGATTCGATTTTAGACAACGGACCAGAACGTTAAGAAGAAATCGAGCCATGTTCTCGAGTCTTATTTTTGCCGGTACACCAGCTCATCTCTTTTCTCTTTTGGCAGTTTTTCCTGCAACCAACAAATTTGTCCTATCTCTCTTTTACTCTTGCTCCCACTTCGAAAACTTCATCGTTTTTTTTTTTCAGACACATGATCTTCGCAAACAGCGTTTTGGATTACACCTCGAACAATGTTCGTTAAGGATGAAAGAGATTGGAAAGACGAAGTTTGTCATTCTTGTCATCTTGCGACTTTCAACCTCTTCTCTGTTTATCTTTGTCTGTCTCTTTTTCTTGTGATATTTCAGTGCGAAATTCGTGATCTTTTTCCCTTGTGGCGCATGACAAACTAGTCAGGATATAGAGAACGTGCACGTTGCGATGGAATTCTATTTAGCCGAATATTTTTGTTCCCTTATGCCTGTCCACCATCGGGCCCCTTCATTCACCAGCTTTAATTGCATAATTGCGCCATTGTGCGAACTGGAAGGGGACCCCGTGAAAGGCCAGTCCCGCTGAGGGAGACCTTTCGAGGTGAAAAAAAATGCTGAGAGGGCCCCCTCCATGAAACGATTCTCGAAGCCAGGTAGGAATTATCTTAGAAGATTACGATTTTTAGTTGCAAGTCAATATGACAATTAATATAATATAATTAGTATAATTTTAATTAGTTGATTTCGAATCTGTTTTTCTTTTAACAGAGATTCTAATAATATTGATAATAAAATAGATAATAATGAGATAGAAATTTTATAACTTAAAGATGACAGTTTTTAATAAATTTAGAAAAATTTGAAATGCAGTAAGTATACCAAATATAATAATAGAGAAAATAATTTTTTTTTATTGGCAAGAAGAATTCATATAACTGATTACTGAAACTTGTAAAAAGTGAATTTTCATATAATTATGATTATTTAAATAAACTTATTTTTAATTGAAAGATTTTTATCTTTTTGTAATATTAGATATGCTATTTTATATATTAATTTTTTCGATAATCGATTATTTAAATAATTAAATTTTAAATAATTCATATTCGATATTCCATTGTATGTATGTATATATATATTTGTAAATATTTAAAATATTATATTAAATTATAAAATCTATAATATTGTACTAAATATTATACTAAAAATTTTCAAAATAGATACACAGATATTATAATTCATAATATAAAAAATCTGAAATTATTTTAAATATTTACTGTAAAATTATTTTGTTCTGATAAAAAATTTATTTATCAAAATTCATCTTTTCAATTCAATATATTTTAATTTTGTTTTCTATAAAATGTAATATAATTAAAAGAATTAATGAAATACAAACATCAAATGGTATATGGTTAGTATAAAAATAAGGTATCTAAATTTAAAATATTGAATCATATAAAAAAAAAGTTAAAATATAGAAAATTTAAATGAATGCTTAATTATTTTTTAATATTCTTTTTTTAGTTTTTTTTTCTTCCTTGAAAAAACCATAAAAAAATTATTTTCTTGTATTGATTAAATGAGTTTTTTATATATTCACTATGAATGTTTAACAATCTAGATATATCTCTACTTTTTCATACTAATTATCTCATCGCAAAAATAGAACGTTTTACAATTTCTTCAAAATAAAATAAATTTCAAAATAATAAATAAAAATAAAAAGCAATATAGATGCAAGTAAAATATAAAAGACTTTTATTTAAAACATCTTATCTAATTTATAAAAATTTATAAAATTTAATTAATTCTATTATCATTCATGAAAAAAAAATTATTTCTGGAATTTATTTTTTTAACATACATCTTATATTTGAATAATTTGCTTTATACATGCATGTTTTATTTTTTTTTTAATATTTTTTATAACAATGTTTAGAAATATTTTTTTAGTTCATTTTTGTTATGTCAATTTATATAAATATTTTATGTGTGCAAATGAAAGTATTTATTTTAAGAATTATAATATAATTTTATAAATATCAATATAAATAATATTTTGTCTCTCAAATAATGAAACAAATTAATAATAATAATAATAATATATAATAATTTATAATAATTATAATGTAATTACATAATAATTATATAATAATTAATTTATATTATTATTTATATTATAATAATATAAATAATAATATAATATTATATATATAATAATATATTTAATAATAATATTAAAAGTAATAATGAAATTAATAAGATAAATTATAAATAAAAATAAGAAATTGCAATGTTTTTACTGCAATAATTTTGAAAATTAATATTAATATAATAACATTTGATAATGCAAGCACTAATTATTGGAATTAATTTTATATATTCTAACATGATCATTAATATAACAATATTATAATATTACATAAAAATATTTTATAATTACCAATAAATTAGCGTCAACTAACAAAGAAATTTCATTAAAACGCTACGCTAACATTTAATCATAATAATTAAAATTTTGCAATGATTTAAATGTATCGAATTTGTTTTGTTTAATTATACTATAATTAATATAATTTTCATAATTAATATGATAAATATTTTAAAAATTTTATTAAAAAATTTTTCTTTATGTAAAATATAATAAAATTATAATAATCAGAAATATTTCGATATTCAACTTGAACATATTAAAATTCATTTTTTAACTATAGGATTTTTATGTATTTACGTATCTATGAATTAAAAAATTAAAATTACATGTAATTATTATATATATATATTCTCGATTCTATTATATATTTTTATATATCTATAATTATTATATATAAATTTTAAATAAATATCAAATTTTTCATTTCGTAAGATAAATAAATTTGTTTTGAAATTACGGAAAATTGTCTAAAATAAAGGAAAATTTGTATCCCAATCCCATATACACGAATCGAGTAGAACACAATCAAAGACACAGTTAAAAAGTTAAAGAGAAATATCTTCCCGTAGCAAAATTCAAAATGAGCAAAAAATGAAGACAATGACCTTGCAAATTTGCACAATTGAAACCGCATTTCCCTCGGTTAACCTTAATTTCCTCTCAAAATTTTCCATTATTCGTAAGCAGCTGCAGCAGGTGATGCGCGGTCCGACAATCATTAATGTCCTATGAATATTATTTCATTTAGATCACATCTCTCGTCCGACAAATTATTACCACGCACGTGTTTCAAGAGTCTCGCATCTCCCGAGGCTTCTACAAGCATCGATGTATCAAGGCTACCGACGTAGCGCCATTGGAACAGCTGGCCTTCCCGCCACTTAAATTTATTTCCCCGGAAACGATCGATCTTTTCATTTCGCATTGCGATAGAGACGCTCGCATTCGCTTAATAATTATTGATTTTCTCACTTTTTAATCGATCCTGATATTGTATATTAAAAGAGAATAGTCTATCGATCAACTCTATTTTTCATTTTCTCCATTAGATATTAACGTTTTTTTTTAAACAATTAATATAATATGTTATATAAATGGGAGAAGTGAAAATTCATCAGTATTGGGCAATTATGTGATTAAAGAGTGATAGGTTAAAAGATTGATGATTTTTCTTAATTTTCAAGTTATTCTGTATTTAAATATTTATTTGAAAATTCATAATATATCAAATGATTAAAAATTGAAATTTTGCTATCAATACATATTATGATATCATGATATCAAGCTGTATAAATATCACAATAATAATACAAAAATATTGAAACAAATCGATTTTTTGAATATTTAATTCTTTTGCTATTACACATTATATATATAGTATACTAATTTTCTTCTATAATCTAATATTACATTTATGATGGATATTGTATTTAAAATTTTTTTTAACATAAATGCATAATATCTTATTTACTATTATATTAAAAATATTTTTATATATAACTGATAATAATAAATTATTTTTATTTGACATTGCAATATCATTTTTGATTATTTTAAATTTTCTTCTCAATTGACAAAAATCATTAGACGACAAATTTTGAATTAATGTTGTGACTTTTTTCTGATAAATAATGTGAAAATAGTGAAAAGATTAATTAATAGAAATTAAAAAAAAAAAAATTGAAGAATCAAGAAAAATAGAATTTCAAGATTATACATCAAGATTATACTAATCAAATGTAAGAAACAAGAATTGAAAATAAAAATAGCAATTTTAAAATAATAATAGATATAAAATTACAAATTACGAATTATATTGACACCAATTTTTTCCGAAATATAATATTAAG